AAAAAAAAAAAAAAAAAAAAAAAAAAGCCAGAAAATAAGTCTCTTGACTTCAGTGGGCCTTCTGAACAGTGCAGGTGTAAAAAGGGGAAAGGGAGGGAGAGTAAAAAGAATGTAAAGATTTGTTCTGTTGAAACACGATAATATATATTAAAGATATGTCATAAGTTATGGGTCATGCCTAAAGCTTTTAATAATACGTCTTCTATTAGACAGCATAAAGTTACCAACAATGATTATAACATCGAGCTAAGAATGCATACTACTATTTATGGAGGCCCAGAATTTGAAAAATGATTCAGTCCTGTTTATTCTATGTAATGATGTTATTTTTGTACTAAACATAGGGGTTGTAAAGTGATTCTGTATGTTAGTTTAAATGTGTAAATATTTCTCTTATGGCATCCTTATGTACACTGACCATGAATATTTTATTTTATGGTGGGCTTGAATTAAATCCATTACAATCAAAGAAGGCATCTGAACCTGCAGTGAGGCTGGCATGACTGCTAGCATCCTGAATCCATCAGGCACAGAATTGCTACAAGTAATATGAGTGAAACAAGGATATAAAACCCTGGGGCCTTAAGGAGGCAACTCCATTGACTCCAAAACACATTTTAACAGATGTGATATGAATGGCACCAAGTAAATAAAACCTGATGTGAGTAATCAGCCACAAGATGGCATTTGAATACAGAGGTATTTAAAGTCTGGTCCACTACTGTAAAACTTAATTGCATGCCTAAAATGGGCTGCTTCCCTTCTCCGTTCACTTTCTCTCATACCACCATGAGATTAAAATCACTGTTTATTTCCTCTAAGCCTAACAGTCATAAAACATCTTCTTTATTTTCAACTTGCTTATTTTTGATCTCTTGTGATGGTCAATCTTGTGTTTTAACTTGACTAGGCCATGGGGTGCCCAGACATTTGGTCAAAGACTATTTTAGGTGTTGCTGTGAAGGTGCTTATAGATGAGATTAACCTTTATTTATATTTATTTTTGTTTTGGGGACAGGGTCTTGCTTTGTTGCCCAGGCTGGAGTGCAGTGGCACAATCTTGGCTCACTGCAACTTCTGCCTCTTGGTTCAAGCAATTCTCCTGCCTCAGCCTCCTGAGTAGCTGTGACTACAGACATGTGCTGCCATGCCCATCTAATTTTTTGTATTTTTAGTAGAGACAGGGTTTCACCGTGTTGGCCAGGGTGGTCTCAACCTCCTGGCCTCAAGTGATCCGCCTGCCTTGGCCTCCCACAGTGCTGGGATTATAGTCATGAGCCATGGTGCCTGGGTGAGATTAACACTTAAATTGGCAGACTGAGTAAAGCAGATGGCCCTCCATAATTTGAGTGGGCCTTTTCAATCAGTTGAAGGCCTGAATACAACAAAAAGCTGACCTTCCTGAGCAGGAGATAATTCTTCTGTGTGGTGGCCTTCTGACTGGTTCTGCAACAGCCTGCTGGCTTTGGACTCAAACTGGGATGTCAACTCTGCAGATTTTGGACTTTGCCAGCCTCCGTAATTAGCATAAACCAATTCCTTGTAATAAATATCTTTACCTCCCCACTGCCCCACTCCACACAATGGGTTTTCTTTTCTCTGTAGAACTTTTACTAATAAATGTCCCAATTCATTTGTCAAGTTTTATACTGACTATCCCCATTATAATGAAGGTTCCGTAAAGGTAGAGACTTTGTTTTGTCTGCTATTTATTCCCAATGTCCAGACTTGCTCTTCATAACTGTGCAAAGAATTACTTGGTGAATGAATGTATCTCTCTGCGGGGAGAAGTGATGCTTTTAGATGATCTGAGTGTGGCACCAAAGGGGCCAAATATGTAATATGTCACCTTGAGCAAATGGCATCTACTTGGGTGATTGATGAAATAGTATCCTATATTGAAAATAAAAAGTGAACTTGAAGAAAATGTTGAAGAGAGCTAAGGTATAACTCTATACTAGAAGGGAAGTTAATGTAAACTCAGAAGGGATAATGTATTCATGAGTTTTAAATACAGTTTATATATATTTAACAATGATATATGTTGATAAAAATTTTTGAGACTTAAAAGTTTTGGCTAGCACTGAAGTTTGCAGTCATGCGTTTCTGTTGCCCTAGAGATCGTCAGGCCTCTGAAAATCATCCAGCTCAAAGCAAGCCAGATATAAATCAGTGTCAATTGTGGTTATAAATTCTGGATGCATATGTCAGGAAAATGAAAGGTACAGAAATTAAGGGATAGAATGAAAGCAAACATTTAACGTGTTTTGTTAATGGTTGTTGGGGCTATGAATGTGAGGCCAGGGTATCATGTGTTATGTTTGTGAGCTGCAAGCTTTATTGCAAATCACCATATCTTAGTGCATAGTGTTACCATGATAAATAGGTGGGTTCCCTATTGTAAGCAGTCTTACAAAGTAAAAACAAAAACAAAAACAAAAAACTAACGAGAAATATGTCCCGTGTAACTGACTTATTTAATGGGTTAAACAGAGTGGGGTACAAACAGGAAACAGTGTAATTTTTTGCTGACCAGTGCCTTTAAGCAAGCTCTTTCTGATCCCTGTCTCTCTGCTCACTGATGACATCTCTGGCAGATTCCATAGTCTTTGGCTCACTTTTGGCCATGAGAAGTGTCACATTTTCAGATTTTAAAAGTCCAGTCCCTGTTGGTAGGAATGTAAATTAGTCCAGCCACTGTGAAGAGCAGTTTGGAGATTTCTCAAAGAACTTAAAACAGAACTACCATTTGACCCTGCAATCCCATTACTGGATATATACCCAAAGGAAAAGAAATCTACCAAAAAGACACTGGCACACTATGTTCGTTGCAGCACTAGTCACAAGAGTGAAGACATGGAATCAACCTAGCCGCCCATCAGTGGTGGATTAGATAAACAAAATGTGGTACAAAGATGGCCAAGTAGGAACAGCTCTGGTCTGCAGCTCCCAGTAAGATCAACACAGAAGGTGGGTGATTTCTGCACTTCCAGCAGAGATACCTGGCTCATCTCATTGGGACTGGTTAAATAGTGGGTGCAGCCCACAGAGGGCAAGCTAAAGCAAAGTGGGGCATTGCCTCACCTGGGAAGCACAAGGGGTCAGGGAACTACCTCCTCTAGCCAAGGGAAGCTGTGAGGGACTGTGCTGTGAGGAACTGTGCATACTGGCCCATATACTATGCTTCTCCCACAGTTTTTGCAACCACAGATCAGGAGATTGCTTTGGGTATCTACACCACCAGGGCCCTGGGTTTCAAGCACAAAAACTAGGTGGCCATTTGGGCAGACACTAAGCTAGCAGCAGGTGTTCATATCCCAGTGGCACCTGGAACACCAGTGAGACAGAATCATTCACTCCCTGGAAAAGGGGCTGAAGCCAGAAAGCCAAGTGGTCTAGCTCAGCAGATCCCACCCACACAGAGCCCAGCAAGCTAAGATCCATTGGCTTGAAATTCTCGCTGCCAGCACAGCAATCTGAAGTCAACCTGGGATGCTCCAGCTTGGTGGGGGGATGGGCATCTGCCATTACTGAGGCTTGAGTAGGCAGTTTTCTCCTCAAAGTGTAAACAAAGCCTCCGGGAAAGTTTGAACTGGGTGGAACCCACTGCAGTTCAGCAAAGCTGCTGTAGCCAGACCGCCTCTCTAGATTCCTCCCCTCTGGGCAGGGCTTCTCTAAAAGAAAGGCAGCAACCGCAGTCAGGGGCTTACAGATCAAACTCCCATCTCATTGGGACAGAGCACCTGGGGGATGGGCAGGCTGTGGGTGCAGCTTTAGCGGCCTTAAATGTTCCTGCCTGCCAGCTCTGAAGAGAACAACGGATCTCCCAGCTCAGCACTGAAGCTCTGCTAAGGGACAGACTGCCTCCTCAAGTGGGTCCCTGACCCCTGTGCCTCCTGACTGGGAGACACCTCCCAGCAGATGTCAGCAGACACCTCATACAGAAGAGCTCTGGCTGGCATCTGGCAGGGGCCCCTCTGGGACAAACTTCCAGAGGAAGGAACAGGCAGCAATCTTTGCTGTTCTGCAGTCTCCACCGTTGATACCCAGGAAGACAGGGGCTGGAGTGGACCTCAAGCAAACTCCAGCAGACCTGCAGCAGAGGGGCCTGACTGTTGGAAGGAAAACTAACAAAAAGGAATAGCACCAACATGAACAAAAAGGACATCCACTCAAAGACCCCATCTGAATGTCACTTCTTCAAAGACCAAAGTAGATAAATCCATGTTGATGAAGCAAAAACAGCAAAGAGCCTGAATATTTAAAAAACCAGAATGCCTCTTCTCCAAAGGATCACAACTCTTTTCCAGCAAGGGAACAAAACTGGACAGAGAATGAGTTTGATGAATTGACAGAAGTAGGCTTCAGAAGGTGGTTAATAACAAACTCCTGTGAGTTAAAGGAGCATGTCCTAACCCAATGCAAGGAAGCTAAGAACCTTGATAAAAGGCTAGCAGATGTGCTAACTAGAATAATCAGCTTAGAGAGAACATAAACGACCTGATGGAGCTGAAAAACACAGCACAAGAACTTTGTGAAGCATACACAAGTATCAATAGCTGAATCAGTCAAGCAGAAGAAAGGCTATCAGAGATTGAAGATC